TCTGTAAATATGGAAGTTTCTCAGTTGTCCCTAGTTACCGCATTGCAACCTCACGTCCATAGCTCAGTGATTAAAGCACTTGCCTCGCAAGCGAGAGATCTGGTTCGATTCCCGGAAGGCTGAAATGTAGGCCAAGTTTCCTTTCTCCACACGCCTCTGTTTACTGAGCAGTAACCCGGTTGTTAGTCGATTGGCAGATCGCTTTTCCGGCCACTGTTTGTGGGACGCTGCTGTGCACAATTGGCTGCCGCATATCACCCACAAAATATACAGTCAACTCACTTTACAGTATATTCTGTGAAGCGCTTTGAGACGCCTCGAAGACATGATAAGGCACTGAATCAAATACAAGGATTATTATATTATTATTAAAACCACTAGGTGTAACATCACAAAGTCCTATTTCAATGATTGATGCCATAGATGATGGCCAGTAACATTAAGCTTTGTTTTTAATCTTAGTTAGCTGATTATGATAATTATGCGGGATATAATTTTATTCCAATTTAGATATTAGTATGTAAGCTCCAGCAGAGATTCATCTGGGGTATTGCCAAGGCAAAGTAAGAAGCTCGTCGATTTGCAGTCCAGTTTGCGCTAGAGCAGTTGCAGATGTTTTGATGACACACACGCACAGAAAACAATGTGATGTCAGCAAGTGTCATTGTAATGTATGGTAATAGTTTAAAAGAGCCGATAGGATGTTTGATGCAAAAGTAGGTTCTTAAGAACAATCTGCATTTGTACATGCAAACCACATTTACCTCAAAGGGTGGGGGAAGAGATATTGTTGTGCCTTTTTTAATATCTTGAAAAAGTTAACGTTCGGTTATTTTCAGTACAATTTAAATTACTGGTTCCAAAGTCTTTGAGGCATTCAATATCAGTCCTATCAAGTGCTATGATGTCAAGACACTGTGTGAGCAGAAACTGATATGTTCAGAAAGTCTTATTTGTGGATGCAATTTAATTCTGATGCAAATAAAGAGGGCTGAGAGTGGACCCTAACAAATGATCGTAGACTTGAAACATGGACTTACTTTCCTTTCTCCATAGATGCTGTCTGACCTGTGTTCCCAGAGATTGTTTTTCTTACCATAGGTAAACAGGGGCGTACGTGCGCGTGTGTTTGTGCGTGTGTGTGAAGTAAGGAAATTTGCCCAACATGGGGGGGGGGTGGGGAAAACATCGAACCCGGGTTCTCTCACTTGACGACGCGAACGCTCTAACCACTCCGCTGAGCTACGGGGGGGAAAATCGTAGTAAACAATCCCTCGGATAAAAACGGTCTTTAATAATATCAAATGACAGGATTGTTATTATGGTTGTCATTATTATTACAACAACAACAAAATTACATTTATAGAGTGCCTCTCACATCCCAAACCGCTGAACAGTCAGGTGTCGGGCCCCGAGCAGGGGGAGGGGTGGGGTAGGGGCGGGGGAAGGCAGAGAGGTGGGAGGGAGACCAAAGGCTCGGTCGAAGAGAAGGGTCTTGAGACTGGCCTTGAAGGAGGCGAGGGAGGAAGCGAGGGGAAGGGACCGTGGGATGGAGTTCCAGAGTGTGGGGGCAGAGAGGCTGAAAGCCCGACCACCGATGGTAGGGCGGGTCGGGCGGGAGACATGGAGCAGGCCAGAGCCTGATGATTTTTATTATTATAAGTTAGAGCACTCGCCTCGCAAGCGAGAAGCCTGGGTTCGATTCCCGGGCAGGGCAAAAACCTTGGGCAAGTTTCCTTACTCCACACGTACGCAAGCCTGATAATAATCCCTTGAGAAAAAAAAGAAATAATAAATCGATTGCTTCAATCCATGACTGTTTTACGGGGACGCCGCGGTGCACGTTTTGCCAGCAATATATAACTATATATATATATATATATATAGAGTCACTACACTTTACGACATATTATTATATCCTGCGAAGCGCTTTGAGCCGTCTCAAAGACGTGATGAGGCGCTGTATCAAATGCGAGGATCATTTGTATTGCTGTTCCCAATTAAGGCTGAATTAAAGGATTGTCTTTTTTTGGGATGGTCAGCCAGCCGGGGGCCTGACACAAGCGGAAAACCCATCGCCGCTGCTTAAGAGTCTGCAAACCCAACCAAAAATTCCATGTGTCCCATCCTTGACACGTAGAATGGAAATGAGAGTCCTGTAGCTCAGTGGTTAGAGCACTCGCTTTGCAAGCGAGAGACCTGAGTTCAATTCCAGGCAGAGGGCGAAACCTTGGGCAAGTTTCCTTACTCCACACGCCTAATAATAATCCCTCCAAAACCAAAACAATAATAAATTGGTCATTTTCAATCTACGACTGTTTGTGGGACATTGCTGTGCGCAATTGGCTGCCGCGTTCGCCCACAAATATACAGTCAATTCACTTTACAGTGTGTTCTGTGAAGCGCTTTGGGACGTCCTCCCGACGTGAAAAGCGCTATATCAAATGCAAGGATTATTATTATTATTATTAAATTCTGAAGCTGAGATGATAATAATCCTCGCATGTGATGTAGCGCCGTGCCACACACCTTCACGACGACAACAACCTGCACTTACACAGCGCCCTCCCCGCAGGACAGCGCCTCAGAGCGCTTCACAGTGGCCGACGGAGCCCGACTCCGAGCCGGTGATGGCGAGGTGGTGGGTGGGTCGAGAGAGGAAGGCTTTTTTTCAGGCGGGACTTGAAGAAGGGGAGAGAGGGAGGGAGGGCGAGGGGGAGGAGGGCAAGGCGGAGGGATTGAGGGAAATTATTATTATTATTATAACCAAGAAATAACATTACATTCAATACAACACAATACTCACTCCTTCCTGGTGTCAACGCAGAGCTGTGTCCCATTCACTCCTCTTTGAACTTAATAGGGAAAAAAAAAGCCTTGAAATAAGGAGAAACACACCAATAAACAAACAAGCACACACCGACCGACAGTTAGAGGCCTCACACCTGAGGGCCCTGAGATTTAAGCTGTGATTTTTTTTCTCATCCCTTTGAGCCAGAGCGAAAGACAGAGCGAGCAACCGTCGCCATGGTCACTGAGTCCACCCTAACCTGCTGGGACAGGAAGTCCCGCCTTCCACCCCCCTTCCCGCTTCCCATTGGTCAGGCGTGACGCGAGTCAGGGCGGCGGAACGCCCGTACGGCTGATCCATCCGTCAATCAGCCGCGTGTAAGTTTGGTTGCACGGGGGACTGACGTCACTCACTCCGCCCTCCTCCTCCCCCCACAAACACTCACCTCCTTCCCGCCCCGCACTCAACCAAACCTGCTGGTCGCGGTGACCCCACCCACCTCTCTCGCCCCGCCCCTACCGCGCCTTGCTATTGGTCGCTTCCAGCGGGTTCGTGGAAGTGATTGGTTGAAGCGCTTGTCAATCAGATGAATAGGCGTCATTTCCGGCGTCAGGTTAAGGCAGGTTAGGTTAAGGTTAGGTTGAGCGGTAGCCTGCACCAGGGCCTTTTTGGTCAAAGGGGGAGAGAGAGAGGAGAGACAGACAGACAGAGAGAGATTGATTCCCGGGAGGGCGAAAATTGGGCAAGTTTCCTTACTCCACACACTTCTGCTTGCCCTGCGGGTTTAAACTCTTCAACCTCCCTGGGCTCTCCCTCAGACTCACCGAACCAGTGCGCAACGTAGACGTCTGGTTCGACCCCCAGCTTTCTTTCCTCTCCCACATCCAGTCCCTGACCAGGACCGCCTTCTTCCACCTCCCCCACGTTGCCCGCCTCCAACTATATCTTACCCCAAACGCAGCCGAAAGCTTCGTGCATGCGTTTGTCACCTCACGCTTGGATTACTCCAACAAGCTTCTCGCCGGTCTCCCCAGCTCCACCATTCAAAAGATCCGGCTCATTCAGACTCTGCCACCCGCATACTGACCCGACCAAACTCCGTACCCACATCTCACCAGTTCTGGCCCAGGCTCCACTGGTTCCTCATCAGCGAACAGATCGACTTCAAGATCCTCACACTCGTGTTCAACTCCCTTCATTCTCTGACACCTCTCCGACCTCCTCACTCCCCAATCTACCATCAACTCGACTGGCACTGACCTTCTGCTTGTCCGTTGCATCCTCTGCCCCACCCTCGGAGGTCGTGCTTTTGGCCACTTCACCCAAAACTCTGGAACACACTCCCTCAATTCTTCTGCCTTGCCCTCTCTCACCCCTCTTTCAAGTCCCGCCTGAAGACTTTCCTGGTTAACCGTGCTTACGGCCACCTCCCCCTTCACCCCGGCTCGGAGGCAGGCTCCGCTTCTGTTAAGTGCACTAAAACCCTACCTGCGTGGAGGGCACCGTATAAGTACTTGTTGTTGTTTACTTAGCACTAAATAGGAACCTAGTTGTTAGTCATTGGTGGATCACTTTTAGGGATAATAGTCAGGGGTTCCTTCAAAATAAATAAACACAATTTGGTCGCTCAATCCACGACTGTTTATGGGACTGTTGTGCGCAATTGGCTGCCCCATTTTGCCCACAAACTATGCAGTCATAATCCATCAATCATTGGAAGAGGACTTTGTGATGTTACACCTGGTGGCTTTAATAATAATATGATAAGGCACTATATCAAATGCAAGGATTGTTCTTATTAAGTCTTAGCTTTATAAATGGTATAATCACCTAGGTTATACAGGGAGACAAAAGTCATGATTCCATTACAATGTCTAATTATAATGTAGACCATGTCTTATCTTGTACCGAATAACAACAACAACAAAAACAATATTGCATTTATAGAGCGCCTTTCACGTCGGGAGGACGTCCCAAGTCGCTGGACAGTTGGGTCGGGATCTGAGCATTGGGGGAAAATGGTCAGGGTGAGGGGAGGAAAGGGAGGGAGCGAGGAGGGGGTAGAGAGTCGAGAGTGGAGCTGAAGGCTCGGTCAAAGAGAAAGGTCTTGAGACCGGCCTTGAAGGAGGAAAGGGAGGAAGCGGCGAAGGCACTGGGGATGGAGTTCCAGAGCCTCGGGGCTGAGAGGCTGAAGGCCCGACCACCGATGGTAGGGCGGTTGGGGCGGGGGATGTGGAGCAGACCGGAGCCAGAGGAACGGAGGGTACGAGCAGGTAGGGAGGGGGATAGTAGGTAGGAGGGAGCGAGGCCGTGAATGGCCTTGTAGGTGAGGATGAGGATCTTGAATTTGATCCTCTGGGGGATGTGAAGCCAGTGGAGGCGATCGAGGGTGGGAGTGATGTGGTCGCGAAGCCTGGTGCGGGACAGTACACGAGCTGCAAAGTTCTGAACAGTAGAACCAGAGGAAGGGGGATAAATTCAGAACAAATGCGGAAACACTACTTCACTGAGTGAGTTGTAAACTTAGGGATCAGGCTCCCTAGGGAGACAGTGGAAGCAGAAGATGCCATTTGTTTCAAGAACAAATTATATAGTTTTCTGCTATAAAATAATATCTCAGGATAATACAGTATATAGTTTGGGACTCGACATATCAAGTGACTGCCAGGATGGTGGAAGGCGAACTACATGGACCATGGTCTTCTTTCGCTTAGCAAATTCTTATGTTCTTATATACCGTTTACACAAGTTTGCCTGTAACTCACACTTGCTGCAAGTCATATTAAATGCTGGGATCTCGATTGATATGACTTATGAGGTTTACAGAGGAGCGCAACTTCCAATTAGTATCCTCCTATCATATTAGCACCCCAGCTTATGGAGGTGCTAATGGGAATGGACGCAATTTATGTGCCAAACTCTACGACACAAGAAATTAATGCTGCAATCAATGTGTTATCCCTACTACACTGACCCATATTGTTTGTAGAACCTATGGGCCAGTCCTAAGCTAAACATATTGTGGGTCAACGTATGCTTTTGCTAGATTTGTGTCAATTTGGAGTGTTGTTGGATCTATTCCCGTAACTCAGTTTTTTTTAAAAAAAGCCTTTAAAATTTTGTTTCTTAAAAATGACAGAAGCCTTCTGGGAATCCTTAAAGAAAGCAATCTAAGTATATTGCATGACGTCTAACATTGGCTTTACCTTTTTTTTTCAGGTTTTCCTTATTTACAGTTGCATGTAATTTTGCTTTAACATAGTGCTGTGTGCGGGAGTCGGACATTTATGAGGCAACTCATTAAATGAGAGCACACGCCTTTTTTTATGGCTCCTGGATGAATCATCATGAAGTTTATAACAACACAATTTGTATTTATAATAATCCTTGCATTCGGTATGTTGGGAGGATGTCTCAAAATTCTAAGGTGAAGTGACTTTACCTTGTGAGGGCAACTAATTTGTGCACAACAATGTCTCACAAACAATGAAGAGACTGACCACTTTTATTTGGGGATTGTTGGTCGGGGCACCAGGAAAAACTCCCTTCTCTTTTTGAATAGTGCCACAGGATGTTTAACGTCATTCTGAACAGACAACACTGTTTAATGTCTCATCTGAATGATGGATATAGCAGCTTTCATGTCTAGAGGATAATAATATTATTATTATTATAGAGGATGTCTCAAAGTATTTTATAATACTAATTTTATAATACTATAAATATATTTATTATATATATTATATATATTTTTTATATATATTTTATAATACTAATAATTTTATAATACTAATAATAATCTTTGTTTTTGATACAATATTGCACACAATATATTGTAAGTGAATTGACCGAGTATTTTGTAGGCAAAACAGAGTCGTCAATTGCGCACAGCAGTGATCCGCAAACAGTCGTGGATTGAGTGACAAAATTATCATTATTATTGAGGGATTATTACCCATGGAAAGCGATCTGCCAATCGACTAATGACCAGTTCCTGTTTACTGCTAGGTAAACAGGCGTGTGGAGTAAGGAATCATGCTTAAGGTTTCGGCCTCCTCGGAAATTGAACCCGGGTTTTCTCGCTTGCGAGGCAAGTGCTTTAATCAATACGCTACAGGACTCCCAATGTTCATCATCTTTTTGCTTACTGTTCTTGTTCAGGGCAGGGCATTATTGGATTCTAATTTTATTTCCTCTAAATAATGTTTGAGGGTTTTTTTTTAAAAAAAAAAGATTGCGTTTTATCACCAAAATAAACTGACAAAGAATGTACGGCACAGAAACAGATTCCTCAGCCCAACGAATCTGTTCTGGTGTTTATACTCCACATGGGTTGATGCGATCTTGTAGGATCTATACATCAGAAAAAGAAAAGCGAATGAAAAAAGGCCCTTCAAGCTTCAATATACCACACACCTATTTTATAGAATTCACCTACTGTTTAATGGTTCAAATCTCAGCAGAGTCATGCAGTTCTACAAGGATATTCAATCCTCCACTCCCTGTAGCATATTCCGCGATCGCCACTGTTCTCGTTCTGGCCCTAGTTCCTTCCACACACGTATCCACACCCTCCCAGCTCAGAAGGAATAATCCAGTAATCAATTGCCCGCATTGAAGTAATTGTTCATTTAGTCCTCACCTATCTCTCTATAAGCCATTTATTCTCGAGCAGCTATTCAGGGTAGGATCTATTTGCTTATATTATGAGCAGCTGGTGATGAAGTCATTTCCTTTTTAGGACCAGCCCAGCAAGATTCTGAATCATATGCCTTTACAGATTTACTCTGAAATGAATTGTGAACCACACCTATTTGAAGACACAATGCAAGAGGAAAGAAAATCGAAGGGTAAAAGGGGAGCCTGCGGAGGAGGATTTGGAAAGTTGGGGGCTTGTTGGAATATGAACACTGGCTTGGACCAGTTGGGACAAGTGGCCTGTTTTGGTGCTTATAATTGACGTACAATAGTTTTGCATAACTCGCTTCACTGCGGTATCTTGTGAAGTCCTGTAGCTCAGTGGTTAAAGCACTCGTTTCACAAGCAAGAGACCTTGGTTTGATCGCCGGGCAGGGCAAATGTCGGGCGAGTTTCCTTACTGCACATGCCTATGTTTACTACCAGTAAGTAGGAACCAGGTTATTAGGTGATTGGCGGATTGCTTTTCCAGGGGTAATAATTTCTTCAAAAAATAATAATAAATTGATCACTCAAGCCACGACTATTTGTGGGACACTGCTGTGCACAATTTCACCCGCAAAATTACAGTCAATTAATTTTACAGTATA